GCAATGAAAAACAGAGAGGATAGATTGTTTTTTTTTTTTCTATACATGCAAGAGATTTTTTTTTCTCTATACATGCAAGTCTTCAAAATGCCAGGGTAAAAACATTAAGAAAACAAAGTTCTATGGACTTCAGAAGTTATAACAAGATATATGGTACTGGGAAAATGTAACACTCATACAATTTCTTTTATGCCTGGTGAACAAAATTATAAAAGAGTGTCCCAAATTCCATTTATGCTCCGACTTAATATTAATTTGTGGCCTTACTTTTTTGGTGAATGACATTAGTAGCCAGAACACTCAGATTTCAGATCAGAGAAATTTAATTTTTTGACTATTCCAGCAACAATAGAAAGGAAAAGAGGTCACTATTTACCATAACGATAGTATCACCTTTGACATGACAAGCAAGGAGCTCTAGTGGCTCCTGGAAATGATGACTGGGCCTTTCTAAGTACATGATCTCTAAGGGGCTTTGGCCAGCACAAGCAGGGAACAAAACAGGAAGCTCTCTTCAGAAAAGAAAAAAAGAATGAAAGAAACACTCACGAATCAGCCTTACTAAGCTTCTTGAAGTATGTCTAGATATACATGGACAGGAATTCTACATTGCTCATCCATAAAACAAAGAGATTGGCTTTGGTTTGTGGTTCCAGTGCAGGTATGTTAAGCGACTTCCCTCTCTCATTAAATTTCCACCAGTCCACGGCATAGCAAGGAAGTAAGGGCCGTGCAAGAACTGTCCATGAAGCCAGCTTTTCTCAATTTAAACGAATGTCCTCTATTCTGAAATTGAGTCCCACCTTTTATGAAAGAGTGATGAAAGTGGACAGCAGTTTTTCTTTACTTCCTCCTTCTCCTCTCCCTTCTGTTAACATCTTAGCAAAATTTAAAACGTAAAAGATTTCCATTGGACACAAACATTTAAAAGATTTTTAAAATGCAAACACCTGCTGATTAATGATATCCAAAGTTTCTGCCAATATTGATGCAAATTAACTCAAAATAGTCCTCCAATTTTTTTTTTTTTTTGCACCTGAGAATCTCAACATAGCTCTTTTAAACCTTAGTCTTTCTCTCACATTGTTAAACCCCTGTGTTGGTCTATGTTTAAATTATGGAGGAAATCACTTAAAATGCATCAGATACTCAATCGAAGGTCAACATTGGTAGCTCGAGGGTCCACTTAGATGCTTGGTGAGAGGAAAGCTACAGGAATTGCCTTTAAAATGAAATTACACAGTAAGCACACTACTTAAATTGTATGTTACAGATTAATGATGATAGCAGTAATAGATTTCTAAGAAATTTTTATTCACTCTATTCGATTAAGAAACTGTCAATCACTCATAACAAAGAAGAACAATAAGTACATGAAATTGCTTCAATATGCAAGTGAATACAGTGATGCTCACATTGGCTTTTTCATGTTGTTTTATGTGCCCCTCTGTCCCTTCCTCCCTCTCTCCCTCTCTCTTTCTGGTATTGGAGCAATTTCTCCCTGGCTAATTTCATCAAGATAATCTCAATAAGGGTTGGTAGATCTAATGTCAGTGCTTGACAAAAACACAAGTGTTGAGAAACATTAAATTTACCCTGCCACATGGTTCCCCTGTGGTAGATACTTTTAGTTTGTAATTAGTGGTAGACGGGTTAACAGCTGCCTACTTGGTATATTCTTGAGTTATGTGTATATGTAGAACACTTGTGTAATGAGAATCACTTGTCAAAGAGTAAATAAATACGTGGATGAAAATCTACTTGGGCCTTCAGTCCGGAGAGCTGTTAGCCCTGCAGGCACTCAGGCTGTTGGTCCCCAGGATGGATCCACTCTGTTGTTCTATCTGAGTGTCTGCCTCTCAATACCTTCAGCCCACCTGGGTAGGGGTCTCCTGACCAAACTGCTTCTCGGTACACAAGAACGGGTGTTTATAACCTTTGATCTTAAATATCATGTATACTCTAAAAGTACTAAATGAGGACTCAGACTTGAGCCCCTGTCCTGGCTCTGTGGTTCACCTTAAACTGTGGCCAAATCACTTTACTTCTTTGTGCCCTTGGTTTCCTGGTCTATAAACGGGGAGAATAATGTCTCGTTAGATCCTCAAGACACTCGTGAGGTAGATAACAGTCAAAAAAATTCTTTGAAAAATATAAAGCATAAAAGGTTGAAAAGATATTTAAAATATTTAAAGGTATGCTCAGATTCAATAAACATCATTTCCTAACCTGAGACTTCCAGAATATGTCCTTATTTGTGTACAGCATTCAAGTCAAATACCATAAATTACTATGAATTTTTATTCATTCATGTACAACCACTAGCTTTTCCAGTTATTCCCAGTTACTTGTATCTCCACCAACCCGAGCCTTACACAAAAGTCTGTGCTTTCTAAAAATGGTTCCATGATGCAATTCCTTTATGATGGTTAATGACAGGCTATGTTGCCCTACAACTGCCACTAAAAGTTCTTTTCTATGGAATTTCTTCCTAGCCCATTGCTCAGTTTACTCTAAGAAACCAAGATCAGAAACCAAATAGAGAGAAGACAGTGATTCATCTGAAGGAACACTAGCAGCTACAAATCCATTCGTGGCTGGATTTAGGGACCTCCAGCAGTGGGTTTCCCAATATTCCAAGTATGAGAACTCCACTTCAATGTTCAGATCCCTCCACAACTGAAAAATATATAATGACCAAAAGGCAACTATAAAATTAATAGTGCTTTTGAGTGAATTTGTATTTTTCTAATCATAAAAACATCTGTATGCATTTGAGAATTAGCACACAGAGAATGATTGGTAAGCATAGAGTTGGAGAAATCTCACCAGCTTTGACTCATAGGTTGGCAACCACTGTCTTTTTCTTTTGAGACAGAGTCTCACTCTAGTGCCAGGTGCCAGGCTGGACATGATCTTGGCTCACTGACACCTCCGCCTCCCGTGTTCAAGCAATTCTGCTGCCTCAGCCTCCCGAATAGCTGGGACTATAGGTGCGCGCCACCACACCCAGCTAATTTTTGTATTTTAGTAGAGACTAGGTTTCCCCACGTTGGCCAGGATGGTCTCGATTTCTTGACCCCAATATCTGCCCGCCTCGGCCTCCCAAAGTGCTGAGATTACAGGAGTGAGCCACCACGCCCAACCGGCAACCATTACCTTACAGCTAACTCTAGTCATGTTTTTTGCCGTCCAATAGAAAATGATCAACTTCTCACTTAAACTAAATGGGAGAGAATTTAAAATATTCAGAAGTTGATGTGGCAAGTTTCTGCCTTTATGGTTGTCTTTTTACATCTGAGAATTGACTAGTTTTTAATCCAAGTAATCTCTTGTTAGAAAAAACTTGTTAGAAAAAAAAAATCTTTTGCAAGTTGTTGAATCTTTTAAAAGTCCTAAGGGGGAAGTGTTTACTATCTGTGACAGCAGTTCTCAACAATGTCAGATTTAACAGCATTTTTTTTTAATAGCAAATATGCTGTAATGACTCCCTTTGATAGCCTATTTTGTTTATCTACTAAGTGAAATAAACCATCCCAAACAGCAACGTGTGACTTCTCATGATTCTGTGGGTTGACTGGGCAGTTCTGCTTGACAAAGTATTGGCAGCTGGAGCTCTGCGGCCCCTAAGAAGTCAAGTGGCCTCACTCACATAACTGAGCTGGCACTGGCTGCTGGCCCGGAGCTCAGCTGGGGCTGTTGGTCTAGGACCACCCTTGTCTTTCAGGTCAACCTCTCATGTGGCTTCTCGGGCTTCCTGGTAGCATGGCAGCAAGGTTCAAAGAAAGAATACTCCTGGAAGAAAGGTGGAAACTGCAAATCTTTTAAGTCCAAGCCCCAAAGTTAGAGTCTTATTTTGCTGCACTCTATTGGTCAAGACAGGTCACAGGCCCAGCCCAAGTTCAAGGAAAGCGAAGAAAGACCCCACCTCTTAATGAAATGGCGAGGTTATATTGAACTTACATGTGGTGCCGGGTGCTGTGGCTCACACCTGTAATCCCAGCACTTTGGGAGGTGGAGGAGTTCGAGACCACCCTGGACAACACGGCGAAAGCCCGTCTCTACTAAAATCTCTACTAAAATACAAAAAATTAGCTGGGCGTGCGCCTGTAGTCACAGCTACTTGGGAGGCTGAGGCAGAAGAATTGCTTGAGCCCAGGAGGCAGAAGTTGCAGTGAGCGGAGATCGTGCCACCGCATTCAGGCTTGGGCTACAAAAAGAAAATAGATGTGGAATGGGAGATATTGCTATGGCCACCTTTGGAAACATAATCTATCACATATTCAGGAATGAAATTCTTGGATGATATACTCTACATAAACAATGTTTTAGAAATGAAAACAGTATCTTAATCATTTAACAGAGAACTAAATGGAAAATAATTCGTAACATGTATTTCAATATGTAAATGCTCAGATATGACTACATTACATCTATTAAAATAGCCAGATCCTTGCATCGACTTCATGATTACACTGTGATTTAAGAAAGATAAAAAGTCATCCCATAAAAGAGATCTCCTGAAATGAACGGATGTACAGGGGCGCTAGAACCACAACAAAAAACAGTGCTAGGGTAAGTGATAGTGTATCAGAGTTATTTCTACATAATTAGAAAAATAATCAAGACAAATTAGAGAGGAAATGAAATAATCTTAAAACTGCTCTAGGCCTTATCTACAAAGAATAAAATAAAAATAACTCCCTATGTAACTACAGAAAACATTTCAATTATTTCAAAACTCTACCACATGTCAAAGCATATTTTTAGCCTCCAGTACTTTAAAAGACTTTGGTGATCACATCTTTCAATGGCCATAGAGAATGTTGGATAGATTCTTTTAAAGAAGTAAATAAAGGATTATAGAGAAGTTGTGATAGATGTCAGAGACATATCAGACTAAGATTGAAAACAATAGGCAACCCTCAGATAATATTAGAATGTGATTTTCACATAATTTCTTTTTATATATATAAAATGAGGATTAGTTCACGTGTTTGTTATTTAAATCTTGAAATCCTGTACTCACGAAGGATGTTAAGAGTATATGGATCCATGTCACCTTCTCTGGAGATTTTGCGAGCAGATGCCATTTGAAGTAGAGGGAGTATAATAGTTGATCCTGATATAATGTCAGGGGCTTCAAATCCAGAAAATGTGGGATTCCTTCTTTTGGCCCAGTATTTTGCTGCTGTTGCTAAGTTTGGGAACATTCGTGGTGATAGCTCCCCAATAACAGGGTGGCAAAGTACACCCCCACATTCAAAGAAATCTCTAAGTACCTTTTAAACCAGTACTTGCTTCTGCTGAAAAACTGGAATCTCGGACACAACAGCAGGTAAAGCAATGGAACCATCCATGCACTGATCCAAGAACGTTCTCACAGTGTAGTAGGTCGTCATCTGTGCTTTGTGGGCAACTACTTTAACTTGATCAAGTAGCTTGCATGCAGGGGATTCAAATTCCTGCATGCAAGGAATATGAATATGAACATTAATCCTCCAACCCATGGTCTTGAGTTGATCCCATCTATAGCTGGCCCTGCATTATAGCTAATTAATAAATCAGCACTTTCACCATGTGAAGGTCTTCCAATGGATACCATCATTGCCTTGAATTGCCTATGTACTTGGAGGCTGTTGGTGCGTATCTTGTCACTCCATCCAGCGGCAATGCCTATCAGAAGATCACAGCAGTGACGGAGAATTGATGACATCTCAAGGGCAGTGAATTTATTTTAAAATAACATTTATTAATAAAATGTATTGTGACTTCTGTATTTCATTTGCTTCTTAATGATATTCAGTCTTTTAGTCTAGTTAAGGGATTTCCAAATCTCCTTAATTACGCAACATAATTTTGATTTTCTTGCCTTTACAGTAAATGTGCAGCTACACTGAAACCCTTTCTCCTGTAAACTGTGAACACCAGAGTTATGTCTACAGTAAGAAAAGTCAACTACTCACTTCAAGCACAAAATTTAAGGGTTCCTTAAATTTAAATTCAATCATCAAGATCAGTAATATTGTAGTATCATCTTTTAAAACATCACATTAATGCCAAAAAGACTCTATAATGAACAAAACAAAGCCAAGATCACAGAAAGAGGAAGTTGTTCAAAAATTCTTATAAAGTATCTTTTTGTAGTTTAAGCTTTCCTCTACCTAAGGACTTTTTCCTAAATAAGGAGCCTTTTTGTGCAGCTTTGTCTAAAGCTTTTCATTATTCCCTCACACGGAAGAGCTGCTGACTTAGATCTGTATTAAAAGTACTACTGCCATATTAGTCATCGGATATTGTTCAGGGCATCTTTTGAAACTAGCAGGGCTGGAATGTTTTTCATTGTGCAGAACCAAATCAAGCTTTGGGGCCATCAGGCACACCTGGTCCCCTCCTGTTAAGTGTCAGCGATACCTTATATCAAATCAATGTGTCAACCCCAGAATGCCCTCATGGGTTTCCAAACTCACTGGCCAAGTGGGTGCTGCCTGGAGCTCCTGCAGATAATGCTTGAAAGGGAATGGAATCAAAGGCGCACAGATTGTACAGTCTTTTGAAAACTGTTTTGGACACACATCTAAGGTTGATTTGAATTTTAATTAAGTCTCACTTAAGGCTCTCTGGGGTTTTTAAAAATTAAAGAGATTTTAAGATATAATATTGCATGCCCTGCTTTACAACCTAGACAGTGATAAAAGCTTAAAGCTGGAGCCATCACCATGCTAATCACAACATTCCATGCAAAAGTTCTCCAAAGGAAGGGATAGAACATCACACAGTCATTCCTTTCTTTCTTTTCTCACCTCATTTAATACAATTAAAGGTTATTATATTTTGTCATGGTGTCTTGTTCCAAATGTAGGCTTTTAATTTGGGTGGTATGTTGTGCATATCAATAAATATTTTTCTTTGCATTAATTCACAATAATAATCCATTTTTATTTCCCAAAAGTCCACTTGGAGGTGGAAAAAGGTGAGATTTATTAAAAGAAATGTTCAAAACCTCCATACACTTAAAAACATCCTAAAATTTCATGGATTTTTTTTTTTTTTTTTTTTTGAGACGGAGTTTCGCTCTCGTTGCCCAGGCTGGAGAGCAATGGCGCGATCTCGGCTCACCGCAACCTCCGCCTCCTGGGTTCAGGCAATTCTCCTGCCTCAGCCTCCTGAGTAGCTGGGATTACAGGCACGTGCCACCAGGCCCAGCTAATTTTTTGTATTTTTAGTAGAGACGGGGTTTCACCATGTTGACCAGGATGGTCTCGATCTCTTGACCTCGTGATCCACCCGCCTCGGCCTCCCAAAGTGCTGGGATTACAGGCTTGAGCCACCGCGCCCGGCAAATTTCATGGATTTTTCTGTGATTACGAATTCCAAAAGCACATATAAATTATAGGGTTTTTGTTACTTCCTGGTGTTTAGACAAAGAAAAAATCTAATAGGCATTAAATCATGTTGACCAAAAATAAGTTGGCTTTTGTTTGTTTGTTTGTTTTTGAGACAGGGTCTCACTTTATCATCCAGGCTGGAGTGCAGTGGCACAAGCTTGGCTCACAGCAGCTGCAGCCTTAGCCTCCCCATTCAAGTGATCCTCCTGCCTCACCCCACCAAGTAGCTGAGACTACAGGTGCTTGTCACTGTGCCCATCTAATTTTTGTTTGTTTGTTTTTTGAAGAGACAGAGCTTTGCCACTGTGCCCAGGATGGTCTTGAACTCCTGACCACAAGTGATCTGGCCTCTCCCACACTTCCCCACCTACCCCACCCCCCTCCACCGTGGCCTCCCAAAGTGCTGGGATTACAAGTGTGAGCCACTGTGCCTGGCCCAAAAACAATTTAAGGTGAGTGTGAGCTTTTCCCTCCACCTTTTTGGTGTGCTAATTAAATCACTTAAAACTGCTTGTATTTTACTGCATCCTTTCTTAATCCCATATCTCAAACATACAGATAATTATACAACTAAACTTAACTAGCAGTTAAAACCACAATTATCTGAGCATTCTTTATTGTGAATAGGTATCCTGGGTTACTGAAACCAAAAGTCTTAGCTAAAAACATCCCCATATTCTTGATTATTTGGATAATTAGGGACTAGGGTTGGTATTCTCAGTGCCATAAACCATAATGCGTTGCGTGCCTCTAAACCACTTGGTGGGAAGCTTTGGGTACTACAGGATTTTGTGAGTTTCCCAAAATCCATATTATCTACAAAGATGACAGCTAATTTAATTAACTAATAAATAACAAACTGTCCACTTTTCCGTTGTCCTACAATCACTGCATTAGAATTCAAAACCATCAAAAAGTAAAACAGAAGTGATAAATGATATGTCTTCTGAAATTTCTAAAATACGTGGTTTTCAAATGGCCTTTGAAAATGAGATCCCTTATCTTATAAAATGCTGTAGCAGTAGGATACAGCTACCAAATAATCTTGTCAATAGTTTTCATTTGTTTTGTAAATAGAATAAGTACCTAATGAGATTCTTTCAACCTAGTTTTTGACTTAAGTTCAATAGTATTTCATTAGGAAGCTTTTCTTCCTATTTGGCTATTTTTAATCCAAGAAACCAGGTCAAATACATGGTTTCTTGAATAATTTCTAGGATGAAAACTGCTGAAGTCTTTATACATATACTCTGAGTTTAGAGCATTAAAGTCATATTAAAGTTGGATGTGGTGGCTTGAGCTTGTAATCTTAGTGCTTCAGAAGGCTAAGGTGGGAGGATCCCTTGAGTCCAGGAGTTCAAGACCAACCTGGGCAACATAGCAAGACTCTGTCTCTTAAAAAAAAAAAAAAAAAATTTAAGTTAGCTGGGCATGGTGGCATGTGCCTGCAGTTCTAGCTACTCGGGAGGCTGAGGTGGGAGGATTGTTTGACTCCAGGAGCTAAAAGATGCAGTGAGACATGATCATACCACCGCACTCCAGCCTGGGCAACAGAGTAAGATCCTCGCTCTAAAAGAAAAAAAAGTTGTATTAAAAACCCAGTCTATGATGCAAAGTATGTTATTTTACGTGTACAAGTCTGTAGCCTACACTCTGCATTATGGGCAAAATTATGTTGCATCGAAACATTAAACTTGGTGAGTAGCAAATTCATCTAGCTATGGCCTTAGTAAATACTGAGTTTATCAGTCATCACTAAAAAACATTTATTAATGACCTTTACAGAAGATGATACAAGGTTATTGCTAGCCACATAGTATGATTGTTTGTACAAACATTCCAAAATGGAAAAGCAGAAAACAGTTTTATTCAAGGTATTTTCTAAGTTTAGTTCATAGCTTCAATTCCTATATAAATAATGTATTTGTAATATATTGTCCATAGGATAGATATTACAAATATGTAATAACAAAATCAACAAAGACATACCTGTGAAAAGAAGCCAACTGCCTAGAAAATAAAGGCAGCCCCAGAGTCCACTACTTGCCCAGGCTCCTTGCAAGATTAGGTACCTAATTTTGTATTTCTAATTTTCTATTCATTTTCTTTAAGAAAACCCCCCAAAATCACATAAGCTTTAGGCCCCTCAGAACCTGGAGCTGCTCCAGTGGGGAGTAAATGTTATGTGATTCACATATAATGAGTACAATACTTGGCTGAGCTTTTTCAAAAAACTATAACCAGAGAGATATACCAGGTTCCTGGTTGACAAAATTTACTGCTATTAAAATGTCAAGTCTCTTGAATTTTAATTGAGAATTTCATGCAAGCATAATAGATATTCCAACAGTATTTAGAAAACATAACAGAACTTTGGAAAAAGCTGGGAAACATCTGGAAAGAAATAGGAGTCACTAAGAAATTTTTGGAAAAGATGATTGATTAAACATGAGGAGCTGGATTGAGGGAAATATGGCTGTTTTCCTGGGTATAAAACATGTTCTAAACTTTCAGTAATTTAAACAATGTGGTCCTGGTACAGGAATAGGCATGCTGACCAAAACAGACATTAGGGCATGTAAAAAATTAACAATAAATAAAAGAGGCAATATGAAGACAAATTCAGCAGGGAAAGAGGAAGTGTTCAGAAAAATGGTAATGGTACAACTGGTTAGATAATTGGGAATAAAAATAAATCCACTTTTATTTTAATCTCACATCGTCCACCCAAATGACCTAAATAAAGTAATGAAATATTTAAACAGATCAAATTATAGAAAAATTACAAGAAAAGAAATATTAATATGATTCAAACTCCACAGAGGAATTGTTTGTTTGTTTTTGAGACAAGGACTCGCTTTGTCACCCAGGCTGGAATGTAGTGGCACCATCATGGCTCACCATAGCTGCAACCTCCTGGGCTCAAGCAATCCTTCCTCCTCAGCTTCCTGAGTAGCTGGGACCGCAGGCATGCATCACCTTGCCCAGCCAAGGAATGGTTTTTTAAAAAGCTTAGTAACAATGAAACAAGTTACAAAATGAAATATTGACAGAACTGACAATATAGAACTGAAAAATATTTGCACACACACAAAAAAACCTCATCTGAATTAAAGGCAAGCAATATATGGGGATTAAAATACTTTCTGCAAGTATCTGAGGCTAACATTGACCTTATATAAAGAGCTCATACAAATCTGTAAGAACAGCACCAAGACATGAATAGATTGACATGCATAAGAGCAAGTATGAACACTCTGGCAATTCCTTAAAGTACTCAGCATGGAGTTACCATAGGACCCAGCAACTGAACTCTTATAGACCCAAGACAAATGAAAATATA